AAAGGAACGGCGGGACAAGGTATTTTACTAAGTTCTAGTTCAGATTTGCAACTCTCGATCTATTGCGATGCCGATTGGGGTACATGTCCATTGTCTCGTCGATCTTTGACGGCTTATGTTACGTTGCTTGGTGGATCTCCAATTTCTTGGAAGACTAAGAAACAAAAAGTGGTGTCACACTCTTCCGCTGAAGCCGAGTATCGTGCGATGTCTATTGCTACACGTGAGATTATATGGTTACGACAACTCTTCACTGATTTGGGGTTCCCGCCAAGTAAACCAGCTCGTTTGTTTTGTGATAGTAAGGCCGCCCTCTATATTGCTTCTAATCCTGTCTTCCATGAGCGAACAAAACATATTGAGATCGATTGTCACCGGGTACGTGATGCCATTAAAGATGGAGTGATTACTACTGCACACGTTGGTACTAAGGAGCAATTGGCGGATGTCTTGACTAAGGCGTTAGGGAAAGTTCAGTTCGTGTATCTTATGTCCAAGTTGGGCGTTCATGACCCTCACGCTCCAACTTGAGGGGGAGTATTGGGCTGTATATTGGGCTCTAGGCCTTAGTCGTTAAACCGACTCGTAGAAAAGCCGACTTGTATTGTTGCTTGGTCGGCAAGCTTATTTTAGGGTTTATCATTCTTGTATAAATACTTTGTAAAGCCGTTCATGAATACACACACGATTCATACAATTCTACAGGTTAAGCCTTGGTGGCTGATAGTTGACAAGCTTGAGCGTTAGGCATTCTTGATGGCCTTAAACTCTCTCTCTCTCTTCTCTCCCTCTAAACTCTAGTTTGCTGGTTCGGAACTGGCCTTAAACTCTCTCTCTTCTCTGCCTCTAAACTCTAGTTTGCTGGTTAAGAACCATTAAAAATTACTCTCTGATGGTTTTCTAAAAGCTGTTTTGATGGATGTTTAGTACGTTTACTTTGCTAATTTCTACAAACAATTAGGATTATCTAAATTGACAAAGATCTTTGGAAAAGGGAGAGCAAATTTACATGTAGGGATCACGAAAACATTGTTGATCTAAACGGAAATTTTGAAGAAGTGTACCAGCGAATATTTTTTGAGACAGAGCATAGATGAAGAAAACGTAACGTATTTTTTTAAGCTTTTTGACCAATTATTAAGTTTTTTGACCAATTCAAATGAAGACTTTCTTTTATTTATTTATATGGATTACTTGATGTTAATTTGATAAATTCAAAAAGAATACGACAGCGTTTAAGGTAATTAGAGTAGATTAATCACAATTAAAATAATACTTGTTTAATACCATACATTACAATTTTGATAAACTGAAGCATTACAATTGTATCAACATGTCACTAAATTGATCTACAACACGTCAACACCAACAACCAAGTAACAAAGACGAATACTGACACATTACTGAAATCGAACAAGATTGCATCCTCGGGATTTCGGAGGTATAATCTTCAACCTCAAGGGTCTATTCGAAATTCTCTTAAACTGCCGTGGCTTTGGTGGAATAATTTGATTTTTAGGGGCTCTTTTGAAAAGTACTTAGACTTCAACACCAAAACCGACGTTCTCTCATCTCCGGCGCCGGTAACTCTCACCTTCTTCTCATTGGAAACATTGTGTAGAAACTTATGCTTCAATAGCTCTGAAGCGCTTCCTCTCAAGGAAGAGACTAAAGGATTACTTGCGAAATACACTTGTAAAAATTGCCTTGCGTCCCAAGGAAGAGACTCTGATCTCTTGTGCTTTCCCATTCAACAAAAGAGGCAAAAGCTTCTTAGAATCTTCCAACTGCCATGGCGGTTCTCCGGTATACATCTCCAACACGATACAACCTAATGACCACAAATCTAGGGCTTCCTCAGCGATCCCGTTTTGAACAGATTCTGGCGACATGTAAAGAGATGTTCCCAAAAACGGAGAATCATATTCCCAAAACTCTGAGTCTTCTCCAACTTTTGTCGAAATTCCAAAATCTGAAATCTTCAATTCATATGATACACTGCCTTCACAAGTACGAGGAAACACGAGAATATTTTCCGGTTTGAGATCGCAATGAACATAACCGTGACTATGGATAGAGACAAGTCCTTCAAGGATCATACGAGTGAAGTCTCTGATCATCGAATCAGTCAATAATCTTGTTTCCATTAAATTAAAGAAGTTAAACTTCCACCAGCTGCATACTCCATTACCATTCTATAAACTCTGATTCCGTAATCATTGACACCTCTCGAGAGACTTGTCCCGCAAGTTTGCACGATTCTAGGACATTCTCTGAGTTTAGATAGAATCTGAAACTCTTTGAGGAGAGATTCGAAGTCTTGTGGGTAAGAGGTTTTCACGGCTTGGTAATACGGATTCGAGCCGTCGGGTTTTGTGAATCTGACGAGATCCACGGAACCATACGAACCTTTGCCTAAGGGTTTCATAAACTCCATGGACGGAAACATTCTTCACTGCACTGAAACCCTAATTAAATCTGAATTTGGGATTTGTTGAGAACAAAATAAAAGAGAGGAAATTTAGACTTTGTGGCTGAAATTGAAGAATATGAGAAGGAAAAAAAGGAAACTAAGAGCATGTGCAATGCAAGTTTCTCACCATAGTCTCTCAACTATAAAAGTAACAATAAAATAAAAAATAATAATATTTAATTACGTGAGTCTCTCAAAAAAGTGGAGAGAGGTTCTCAAAGTCTCTCTACTTTTTTTAGAGACTCACGTAATTAAATAATATTATTTCTTATTTTATTATTACTTTTATATATGAGAGACTTTGGTGAAAGACTTGCATTACACATGCTCTAACAAAAAGGAAATTGAATGACGCGCCGGAAAGATCTGCCGTTGATTCAATCATCAAATGGATCTTACCCGTCTGATCAGGCCGTTTTGGTCTTTGGACTTAAAAATTGGATTAAAAATATAGCCCAATGTGAAGGAAATATATATATATATATATATATATATATATATATATATATAGCCCAATGTAATAATAATACTTAGACTCTTCTAAACTCTTATCACTCACTTCCTAAACCACATTCACAGTGTACTAAACTACTTATTATAAGTCAAGATATCAATTATATATTTCTTATCTTGTTATGCCCGGTCTAACTAGTCCTAACACATGGGACATACTTAACACTTCATAGTTAGAATTACAATGACAATTACCACATAATTTTTTTCAAAAGATCAAATCCTGATTGGTTTTTGTTTCAGTTTCGGAACTAGCTTATTTCCATCTAAGTAGGAGATTCATATAGATATGAAATTTGTAACGAAATTATACCATATGGTTAACGAAATTTTGTATATTGTTCCGGACCAAGAAAGATTATTATAAGTATGTGGCCGTTAGGCGTTAGCCCAACAGAAGAAAATGAACCCCAAATCCAGTGAGTTATGAAAAGTACAAATATCTTAAACGAGAAAAATTCATATTTTCAATGTTATTTATTACAAAAAAAATATCTTTTGAAGATATAATATCAAATTACAATGACTTTTTTCCTACGAGAGTATATACAAGGAATAAGCTAACGTGTTAAAAAAAAAATCAATTGGAAAGAGAGGTGAAGGTTTAATATATTCACACAACTTGTAATAGATTAGCATGTTTGTCTACTTCGAAGACTCTTCTTCAAGTCAAAGCTTATGATTCCCACACGCAGTCTCGCTCCATACCTCAACGTTATAACTTGAAAAGTTCGTATTTTCTTGACTATATAACGTTGGTCCACTTCATGGCGGTGGAGATGAGGTGGGCTTCTCTTCTATGTTACACCTTCTGATGTGTACATGCATGATCCATGGTCTTAAAAAAAGTTTTATGTCTTTGGTCCCATTAGGCTGTGCTTAAGATATTGTCAGAGATTGGGACTGTTGTAAGTATTCCAGAGATCATGGAGGTAAACTCAATTCTTGAAACTATATGCTTCCGTTTTCTAGATTTGTGACAAGCCTTTTCATTAATATTCTCATCTCTTTGACAACTTAGGAGGAGGAAGATGTCTGGTTTTGGACACCGTGTGTACAAAAACTATGACCCACGAGCTAAAATTATCAAGAACCTGGCAGATAAAGTATTTTCCATTGTTGGAAGGGATCTTCTAATTGAGGCAAGTTATGTCTGCTAATACTAATACATTTCGGTTTAAGTGAAAAAAAAATCATGTTTCCAGTAAACGAATATGTGTTTGACAGATGTAACTCTGGTGTCTGCAGGTTGCTTTTGCTCTTGAGAAGGCAGCTCTCACTGACGATTACTTTGTTAAGAGAAAGCTTTATCCAAATGTTGTTTTTCTATACTGGATTAATACAGAATTTTGAATTCATGTGCATTGTTCATCACTTGCTCTCAACTTCATCTAAATCTGCAAACTTGGACCATTAAAATATAGGGCAATGGGATTTCCACAAGAGTTGTCCACAGAGTTTTATTCGCAATTCCTCGTATGGCTAGATACTTGTCACATTGGAAAGAGTCGTTGGATGATCCTGACAGGTATTAGTTGGTCTCTTTCCAAGAAAAATTAGAGAAATTAAAGATGTTTGTTTGAAAGTTGGATAGTTCATAGGCGGTTAGTGAATGAATGTGTACACGGGCGTGTGGCTGAGGCATTAGACACAAGTAAAGGAGAGAATGGTGATGGATGAGTCGAAGGAGTCAGACAGATTGGGGCAAGTCTTGACTTCAAAATGCATCAAGAAGATGTCTACACAACAGTACTTATTCTGTTTGAACCTCAAGATTGATCTTGAAGGATTTGCTCGTGTGGTAGAGAAAATGCCACAAATTGTAAGCCTGAAGAGTTACTATCTAGACGTTAAAAGTTATACATGAAATATACCGCGATGAGCAGAGTATCACCATTGCAGTATATGTTTTTGATTACAGAATAATACTTCATATCATATGAGAGTATCTTAAGTATACTGTAATCCTCGTATATTGAATTAGCATGACAGAAAAAGAAGTCTTCCCTTCATGTGCTGAAAATATCAATGTTTTCTTATTTTCGAAAGAATCTGAATCAGTTGAGACTCTTGACACAAACCAAAAAGTTCCTAATCCAAGAATAATAGCTCCTAAACCAACAAAATCCGAATCACAAACAAACTAAAACAAAGAAAAATATCTGAATACTCCCTCACCGATCATAAGCCCAAAAGATTTTTTCACCTCTGTTCAAGTAGTTGTTGTTGTTCTTGTTTTCATTCTTTCCTGTGATTCTCTGAGATATGCTTCAGCTTTTCTACCTTGTAAAAGTTCCCTGAAAACACTTTTCACTTTGGTTTCTCCTACACCATGATTCTCCTTCATGTACTTGATCATCTCAGGAAGAGTGTAGAAATTCTGATAGCAGAACAAGTAGCTATCTATCCGTCGTCGACCTCTCACTTTCTGCTGATAAACGACAAATGGTATGAATCAGTGAGAATTACAATATGTAAAATCTAATATATTATATAAAGCATCAGCCAGAGTTTGAATTACTTGTGCTTTAGTAGTAGTAACACACTCCCCATCTGATTTCTCGGCCTCAAACGAGCTTCCAGAATTTGTTGCCATTCCTCTCTCTTGCAGAAGCTGCAAGTGTACGTCTTGGGAGGCCATGGGATCACGCTGCACCAGCGGCACTGAACCTGCAGAAACACAACCAACAGCATCTAAAGCCGCAGTATTTGATGGCATTATCTACAACAATCCACAGGAAAAAAAAAACAGAACAAAGGTAATTACCTGACTTCTCTTCAGGAATGACAAGGGCTTTTGATAGGTTGCCTTCCTTATGCGCATCAGTAGGTGCCTCTTCGCCTGGTTGTGTCCGTCCTGCACAAACATAAACAACAGACGTAGTATTTGAAGCCAAGCGAAAGAAAAAAGCAGAACACAAAAAAAAGACATGGAATTACCTAACTTGTCCTCTTCATGAATCACTGAACCTGCAAACGACGACATCACGCAATCGACGGAGCAAATCGGAGAGGAGGAGCACTTTGGGTCTTGACCTAGTTTAAGGGATGTATCGGTTAATACTGACACACTACTACTGAACCGGAACAAGATTGCATCCTGGGGGTTTCGGGGGTATAATCTTCAACCTCAAGGGTCTATTCGAAATTCTCTTAAACTGCCGTGGCTTTCTTGGAATAATCTTGATTTTTAGGGGCTTTTTTGAAAAGTACTTAGACTTCAATACCAAAACCGACGTTCTCTTATCTCCGGCGCCGGTAACTCTCCCCTTCTTGTCATTGGAAACATTCTGTAGAAACTTATGCTTCAATAGCTCTGAAGCGCTTCCTCTCTCCAAAGGATTACTTGCGAAACACGTTTGTAAAAACTGTCTTGCGTCCCAAGGAAGAGAGACTGGGATCTCTGGTGCATTCTCATTCAACAAAAGTGGCAAAAGCTTCTTAGAATCTTCCAACTGCCATGGTGGTTCTCCGGTATACATCTCCAACACGATACAACCTAATGACCACAAATCTAGGGCTTCCTCCGCGATCCCGTTTTGAACAGATTCTGGCGACATGTAAAGAGATGTTCCCAAAAACGGAGAATCATATTCCCAAAACTCTGAGTCTTCTCCAACTTTTGTCGACATTCCAAAATCTGAAATCTTCAATTCATATGATACACTGCCTTCACAAGTACGAGGAAACACGAGAATATTTTCCGGTTTGAGATCGCAATGAACATAACCGTGACTATGGATAGAGACAAGTCCTTCAAGGATCATACGAGTGAAGTCTCTTATCATCGAATCAGTCAATAATCTTGTTTCCATTAAAGAAGTTAAACTTCCACCAGCTGCATACTCCATTACCATTCTATAAACTCTGATTCCGTAATCATTGACACCTCTCGAGAGACTTGTCCCGCAAGTTTGCACGATTCTAGGACATTCTCTGAGTTTAGATAGAATCTTAAACTCTTTGAGGAGAGACTCGAAGTCTTGTGGGTAAGAGGTTTTCACGGCTTGGTAGTACGGGTTCGAGCCGTCGGGTTTCGTGAATCTGACGAGATCCACGGAACCATACGAACCTTTGCCTAAGGGTTTTATAAACTCCATGGATGGAAACATTCTTCACTGCACTGAAACCCTAATTAAATCTGAATTTGGGATTTGTTGAGAACAAAATAAAAGAGAGGAAATCTTTTAGACTTGTGATTGAAATTGATGAATATGAGAAGAAAAAAAAGAAACAAAAGGAAATTTAATGACGCTCACGAAAGATCTGCCCTTGATTCAATCATCAAATGGATCTTAACCGTCGGATCAAGCGTCCCTTGTTAAAAACCCTTCACGCCGTTTTGGTCTCTGGACTTAAAATTGGATTAGAAATATAGCCCAATGTAATAATAATACTTACACTTTTCTAAACTCTTATCGCTCACTTCCTAAACCACATTCCCAATGTACGTACTAAACTACTTATTATAAGTTAAGATATCAATTATTTCTTAACTTGTTATGATCGGTCTAAGTCTAACTAGTCTTAACACATGGACATTCTTGACACTTCATAATTACAATTACTGAACCGCATAATTTTTTTCAAGACACCATATTCTGATCGGTTTTAGTTTTAGTTTTAGTTTCGGAACTAGCTTATTTCCACCTACGTAGGAGATTCATATAGATATGAAATTTGTAAAGAAATTACTCATACCATATGGTTAACGAAATTTGTGTATTGTTCCGGACCAAGAAAGATTATTATTATTGTGCGGCCGTTAGGTGTTAGCCCAACATAAGAAAATTAAGCCCAAATCCAGTGAGTTATGAAAAGTACAAATATCTTAAATAAATAAATAAATGAGAAAAAGTCATATTTTCAATTTTATTTATTACAAAAAAAATAATATGTTTTGAAGATATAATATCAACATTCGATGAGTCGATGACTTTTTCCTACAAGAGTATATACAAGGAATAAAAAGAAGCTAACGTGTCAAAAAAAAATCAATTAAAAAGAGAGTTGAATTTTTAATATATTCACACTTGTAATAGATTAACATGTTTGTCTACTTCGAAGACTCTTCTTCAAGTCAAACCATATGATTCCCACACGCAGCCTCGCTCCATACCTCACGTTGTAACTTTAAAAAATTCGTATTTTCTTGACTATATGTGCTCCATTTACATTAATCCTCTCATATTATTGGGACAAATTGTATCATCATCATACATCTAGAATTACTGTCGACATGTTATGTATAAATGGTATGAATATAAAGAAGATTGCAATCCTATTTTTCAGAAATTTCTATATTTAATCTAAATTAAGAAATAAAAACAAATCCGAGTAAAGTCAACAATGTCTTTTTGGAAATTCATGAGTGTGTAGTATGTCCCTTGAATCCAAGCAAAAGCTCTGAAGAATAAACAAAAGTTCAAAAAAATATCTTAAGAAATTAACATAAAAAAACAATTTAATTACACAACTTAGATCCCTTCAATCTATTATAGTAACTTGTTATTAACTTGTTCTACCAAAACAAAAACGCTTCATCATGAGCTCTGACAACAAAACAAATGATGATTCCGACCGTTCGTTTTGGCAAAGCTCGACTTCTTACGATGCCAGCAGCAAGATCATGCTCGTCACCACCGTTTCCTTCTCAGTTATTATCCTCATCGTCTTCGTTTATTATCTCTACGCAAAATTCGTTCTTCGCCGCCGTAGATCCACCTTCCAAGACCTCTCGTTCTCCGTCGTTTCTCATCCGCCCAAACGTGGCCTCGACACTCTAGTCATCGCTTCTCTCCCAACGTTCGTGGTTGGAGTCAAGAATGAAGTGGCGGGTACGGAATGTGCGGTTTGTCTAAGCTTGTTGGAGGAGAAAGATAATGCGAGGATGTTACCGAACTGCAAACACGTGTTCCACGTGACTTGCGTTGACACGTGGCTCACCACGCAGTCCACTTGTCCCGTTTGTCGAACTGAAGCCGAGCCAAGTCCAAGGCTTGAGCCTGAGCCTAGGGAAGGGCCAGTTGGCGACGTTGCACCGCCGTTAGATTTCGTGGGGGTAGATAACAAAACCGGTGGGTCATCGGTTTTGAGGTTAGACTCGTTTCGAAGGATTTTGACAAGGGAAAGATCTTTGAACAGGCTCGATCATTCTCGCGTTGAACAAGATCGAGAATTGGATATAGAAAGACAGTGAAATCATATAGTATATACACACATACGCCGGTTTAAAAATGTATAAACACACATGCATCCATAATTAATCCTTAATTCATGAACAATAATACGTACGTTTGTGTACTCAAATCGTTTGTATGTGTAAATATCATGGCACAGTTTTTGTATGTTACTGTAATTTTTACAAAAACATTGTTGCTTAACGTGTGAAAAGGGGAAAAGAAAAAAGAGAGTTGAACTTGTAATATTCAATCGAGACAATTTTCTAATTAAGGTATTCAATGTGTGTGAGTGTGTCTACATCGAAGACTCTTCTTCAAGTCAAACTTTGTGGTTCCCACACGTATCCTCACAGGCTCACACGTTTTAACGTTTAATTTTCGTATTTTCTTGACTATGGCTATCATCATGTTTTATATCATTTTTAAAATTTATTGATCGCTGTATTATATTTATATGTAAACACTAATATTATATGTTTAGAGTGGATGTATTTATCTATTGTATAAACTAATTTGCACCATACAAATTTGCAGCATATGAGACTAATTAACTCTTCATACACTGAAATAATGATAGACAATTCAGTCTATATATGCGAGCTAACTCCTAATACCCTGAATCATATTAGGCAAATTCAGTCTACAACTTAATATACATAGGATTTTGATATTTTCCAAACTTTATATATACAATTTATAATCTTCAAACCTATCACCTATAATAATCTATAATCTACAAATTAGTCAACAATGGTGAAATTTCTAAACCCTCTTGAAAGTCTAGCTATCTCCCCAAGTTTCTAATTCTATCTACTTCATAATTTTCTCCACCCACCAACTAAAGTATAAGCCTTGGAAAAAAAAATCAAAATAAGATATTCTAAAAGTCCTTTATTCCCTCATATAATACATCAGAAGTTAGTAACCAATTTTGTTCACTTTCCTTTCCCATCCACTGAAGAAAAAAGGCTTCACAATGAGCTCCAACGACAGAGATCCTCACTGGTTTAACTCCCAACACCACTCGTTCTGGCCTAATCCGTCTAGTTACGATCTTAACAGCAAGATCATGCTAGCCGCAGTGGCTTCTTTATCCGGAGTTATCCTCATCGTCTTCGCTCTTCATCTCTACGCAAGATTCGTTCTCCGCCGCCGTAGAGAAGCTTTCCGTGGTCTCCCCGTCGTGTTCCGCCACTCTTTTGAGATGCCAAAGCGTGGCCTCAATCCGGCAGTCATCGCTTCTCTCCCTACTTTCACTGTTAGAACCACTGATGGCGTGGCTACATCCGCTACTGAATGCGCAGTGTGTCTAAGCGTCTTAGAGGAGCAAGACACGGCAAGAGAGTTGCCCAATTGCAAGCACATCTTCCACGTCGACTGTGTTGACACTTGGCTCACCACTTGCCCCACTTGTCCTGTTTGTCGGACCGAAGTTGAGCCAAGACCGAGACTTGAGCCTGAGCCAAGGGAAGGACCAGTGGGTACTGCACCGCCGTTGTTGGAGGAAACCAGGCTGAATTTGACAGTAGAAGCGGGGACCTCTTCTTCCTCGGATAACAAAACAGTTGCGTCCTCGGCTTCGCGATTAAATTCGTTTAGGAAGATCTTGACAAGGGAAAGATCTTCGAACAGGATCAATCATTCTTGTGTTGACCAAGATCGTGTAGCGGATCTTGAGAGACATTGAGTTGACATAGCGATACATATAATGCATATAAATCATATACACACATCGATAATCTTTAATTTATACTATACCTTCCTTTCTTTCTTACTAAATCATTCTCTGTTTTTGGTTTTGGATAGTTTTGTGTAATGGAACACTATTTATATGCTAGTCAAGAGCATGAGTGTAACTATTAATATGCTTAATGAAACGAATCCCCATGGAGAATGAGAACATTTTCAGAAAATTTGCTTTAATAATATTTGCAACCTCTTCTATGTTCTACAGAAACTGCATAATATTGATCAATAAATGAACAATATACCATCAAGATAAAAGCAATTCTCGAGGAGAAGTGAAGTAACTTCATCCTTCTAATCCAGAAACTAATGAAAAGTGCTATTCAAAGATTTCACTCAAAACCCATCAAACTAGGAATCATTTCTAAAAGACGATCGAAAATTGCTCCAAACAGACTATAATGACACACACAAATGCTAATTACCTTGAAGGAAACTTGCATGTTCCTTGACCTGAAAACAAAAATAGCATTAAAAGCATCAAACTTTCAACACATTTCAATTTGCAAATGTCATTCATAATCGAAATTTGAATTTTCCATAACTAGAGACTCTAAATTTCTCTGAGATTCCTCCACTATCTCCTAGACTATCCCGAAAATAAAATGTAAAACTTACTAGGATTCAGTGAAGTAACAGCTGCGTTGTTACTAAAGTTGCAAGCTTCATCTGCGAGACCGTTCTTCAGATAATAGTTATTGAAAACATACGAAGCCATCTTCACTATCATCAGTGGATCGTAGCAGGATCCGCCTTGCTGAATCCCGCCGCAATCAGCTCCTCCGGGACCACAAGCCCAGTCAATGGTCGTTTGAAGTGCCGAATCCTCAGCGTTGTTCTTCGCCACGCACTAGAGCTCCGTCTCTAAAACCTCACCACTAAACTCCGCAGCAGCAGCAACCGTGATGAAGAGAGAGAGAGAGATGCATTAGGAGGCAGTGAGATTGAGAGAGATAATACACGATCATTTTTAGATTGATCGATTTTGTAGAGTGTGAATTTGAAAGAGTCGAATAGATTTTGGAGTTTGTTGTGATGAATGTAAAGATTTGGGTGAATAGTGTAATATTTTAATTCTTACCGGTTGTTGAACTCGGTTAAACTGATTTGGGCCGTGTTAAACTCCCTTGGCCCATATTTTTAAGGGCCTATAATGAAGGGTTTTTAGCTGCTCTACTTGATAAAAAGACTGGACTCTTTAGCTCCTTAACCTTTTCGATTTCTATAAGAAAAAAAAAAACAATCATGGATTCTCCTGCGAATCCTTTTAAACCTCGAGAGCAAGGTACAATCACTATTTCGCGAAACCTGATCAAGGAAGCTAACGTGGAAGAAGAAGTCTGTGAAGCTTCAGAGACACATTCTGGTCCGGACAAAATCCGAATTTTAGAGTCAGTGTCGGACGAAATGAGGAAATCGCAGGAGGCTGAGGAGGTAGATGGTAGTGATCAGAAACTAGAGGTGTCGATTGAGGAAGACGAGATTGATACTATGGATTCAAAAGCCATGAGCTTTTCTTTTAATTGTCACGGTGGTGGGCCAAAGCGGAAGAAAAAAAACGATAAGAAACGTAAGCAACAAGAAGAGAAGTCGAAGAAGAAGCTTAAGGTACTTGTTCAAACCTTAAAGCTCGTACCTTTCAAGCCATTTAAAACCTTAGATTTTGCTCGTTATGAGAGTGTCTTGAAGACTCTTGGTCTGTGGGATTTTGTGCATTTGGAATTTGATCAGGATATGGATTATGGTCTTGTGGCTCAACTTATTGCTTACTATAGTCCAGAGGGTAGGTGCAGTTATATAAACGGGTCTAGGATTAAACTTAGTCGTGCGGATTTGGCTCGAGCTTTGAAGTTGCCTAATAAGAGAGAACGTGTTGTCATTCTAGATGAGGATAAAGAACTTCTGGAATCAGATGAATTAATTAGTTTTGTTAACGAAGTTGTCTCTAATTGGATGCTACTGCATTGTGATGATGCGTGGATGATGCCAGATAAAGTGGTGGAGTGGAAGAAAAGTATAAAGGAAAAGCAATTGGATAAGCTTGACTGGGCTGGATTGATGTGGTTCATGGTTGAGAAAGTGTTGAAAGCGGAGCCTCCACTCGGGGATTGTTTCTATGCGTCGCATCTGCAGATGGTGATTAGATCACAGAAAATAGATCTATTTAGGGAGCAGGCCAGAGTGGAGAATAGTTATGTGAAGGTGGAGGATTTGTTGATCAAATCTCCGGAAGCAGATACACCAAGGGAACAGTCAAGAGTGGAGGATGTTGAAGTTAAAGTGGGGGATTTGAAGGTAAAGGATGATATTGCTGCTTTAAATCTAAGAATGGATGATGGAGCTAGTGACTCAAAGGAAGAAAAGTGTGTGGAGGAAGGTATGATCGAACTGAATCTTGGGAAAGTGACTGTGTCTGAAATGGCTGCTGAGGAGGAGCATCATCCTGAGGAACAAGCAATGGATCTTGAGGAAAACAAGGAACAGCCAAAGGATCTTCAGGAAACCAAGGAAGAAGGAGATGGAAAATGGCTTTTGAATGAAGACAGCCATGCTGGCTCACATTTTCTTCAGGGGTGTGATGTTGGTGGTGCTACTGTAGGATATGAAAGGAACAGGACAGGACATAAGAAAGTGGGAGAGTATGAACTTGAAGATGAAATTGAGAAAGATGGAGAAAAGCACAACGGAGGGTTTTTGTTGTTTCCAAACGGTGAAACACTACACCAGGAAAATCTGATGTTGGGAGATACATCTCCATTAGGTTATAATTCTGAGCTACAGATTCATGGCAATTCTACTGGTGATTTCATGAGATCTAGGGCTGTCATGCATATGGTTCCAGGTCGTTCTCACTTTAGGAATGACAACAAGAGAGAGATTGATCACGAGAATGATATTTCGTACCATTTTGATAACCCTGCTAGTACTAAGAGGTTGAAGACACCATATTGGGATGACAAGCCAGTTCCTTTTGACGTGTGCATGGAGCAGATTAAGCACTTGGCAGATAAGGCTAAGTTATCATATGCCGAGAAAGACCGAGCTTGTGGAGAATCGAATATGAGGGAACAGATGTTGCTTAATGAACTGCAAAGGAGGGAAGAAATAATTCAGCAATTGCACAAGAAAACTTACGAAGAGGAACACAAGAAGGATGTAGAGATCTATAAGCTTGAGAATGAACTTCGTATGATGACAAGTGTATTAGCCTGGTACCAGAAAGCTTTAAAAGAAACACAGAAGGCATGTAGAAAGCACAGGAAAGTTTGCCCTTTGCGTGATAAACCGATATACAGAGATGTTAAAGGTACTGGAGGTTTAGTATTGAGCACTGCTGAAATCGAGAAGCTAAGATTGAAAGAAGAAAAAGAAGAGGGGATGAGACGAGCTCTAATAGAGAGACAAGTAGAAGAATTTGGAAGCCTCTGGATAAAAGAATATGAAGTGAACCTTAAAAAAAAAGTAGAGCTGCTTGACGAGAAGCTGACCGGGTTCCAAAATAAGGTGAACCTCTTGAAAGAGACAGTTTCAAGACGTGTAACTATACCTGGAAGATTTGATGCAACATCAGACACTTAAGAAGGTACTTTTCTCTTTTAAACTCAAAACTTTGTTACTCAGTTAGTGTTTCTCACACAGTTATGTAAATAATCTATGGACGATTGAAGTGGACGAAGAGAGCCTGAGATTCTAGTCATCAAATACTTACTGGCTTCTTCTTTGGTGGGAATTTGCAGAACCGGCATGGATCCAAGAAGAAGATTCAAGAACCCAAAATGAAGTAACATCGGATCTTTAGTAGCTCTGTAGTTATGATCTTTAGTAGCTCTGTAGTTTTTTGGTAGATTTTTTTGGTTTGTAGACATTAGCCAGTGAATGTAGCCAATAACGATCAAAGCATCTTATGAACACTACTCTTTATCAACTACATTTCAGTCATCTCTCTGGTTTGGTCTTGGTTTAAAACAGTAGTGACCAAAAAAATTAATTAGTAATTACAAACTTTGGAAGGCTTCTTTGTTAATTTTCTTCTTTCCCCGAATTCAACTGTGGCCACTTGTATCATCATTTCGAACCATTCAATTTTAAAATGAAATATATAATTAAAATAAAAACCCAAATCTTGAAAATAAATATCAAAAATCTTTCAAGGATAAATAAACCAAAACCAATCATGAAACGAAGAACGTAGTGGTCCAGTCAAGGAAGTAAGGAACACATCACGTGAATTCACAGCTTAAGCCTTTCAAGGTGTGCCCACACGCGTTTCTCTTTTCTCTTCTTTCCTTTTCACTTCCATAAGTTTTTTTTTATTGACCAATTCAGAATATACTTTAAAAGCTATCATTTCCGGTATCTCCTAAACAAAACAGATCACGAAAGTTACCAAATATCAGTTATTATTAAAAATCCCAGAGTTTTAGACTATTATTTCTTTAATTTTAAGATCACAGTACATTTTTGTATATTTTCTTCATTTGTCTTTTTCTTACATGAGTGGATGTTACCCTATGATTTTACCTTCTAGATTCTATATGACGTCAACATATTGTTTTATTACTTAAAATAATTCAATGTCGTTAAATGACATATTCATATGTTGATTGATACTACTATTTTAAAAACCCGTTGAGTCAGAAAAAGGGTGTAACATCCATTTATTAGCTATAGAATACTTTTTGCCGTTCAAAGCAGTGTTTTTTTTTGTTGATACTCTAGATCACTTTAGAATAGAAATAATCAAAAATTTAGAACAATGTTTATAACTTTTTACGATAAGAAATATCATTTGGAGTAGACAATGATCGAAAATAAACTACTGATTTCCGAATAAATCTTAATTAATTAGTACACAAATCTTTATACACTCCCAAAAAAAAACAATAACAAATCAACTAGTTCTTTGTACAAACAACAATTGATGATCCCCTTCCATCAATTCCCCAAGAAAAGAAAGACGACATAAAGAGAAAAAAAATAAGATACATCAAATTGAATTCATCACAACTTAAAAACAATGTGATTAGAATAAAAAATGTCATCTTCTGAAATTCTTAGCCTAAAGAGATTTTATAGTCAAGCATTTTTGCCAAGAAGAGAGAGAGAGACATGTTGTTGATGATGATTAATTTATGAGACATTGAGGAGCTGTTCTTGTTCAATAGACGGCTTGATGTCGACGGCTGAGGTAGCTCCGGCTCCGGTCGCCGGTAAATGATTTGCATTCTCCATCGTCTTGAGGCTTTGTTGATTATACACTTGTCGAAGTCTCTCTATTTCTCTCTTCAATGCTTCTTGATGTGCTGCCAAATAATATTATTTCTTAATGTCAGTGATTGGGCGTGCTAATATATTGTCAGTGATATATAATTGAATGCATGGTCGAGAAAATGAAAAAGCTCATAAACACACATATTCCATAATTTCCTCGACAAGTTTACATGAGAATTCAATCCAAAAGTTATGTATGCAGAGAAACAAGAATAATTTTTCTTATTGATTTTAATTACTAGTATACATAGTGTTGTCTTTTGTTGTGGTCATAGATTTTTCCGAATATTTAAAGTGTGGTTTATAATTATATTTAAGGAAATTAATAGGTGTAGTCAAAGAGTGAAAAAATAAAGAGAGAGAAGAGAAGCTTACCGTCTTTGAAAATCTTGTCTTGAGATAAAGCAGCGATTCGTTGCTTGAGAGCGCTATTGTCGACGTTGAGAAGCAAACGCTGATGATCCAAGAACGCGACTCTTGGCGATAACACTGACACTTCCGCCTTTAATTTCAATTTAATTTGTTTGCACAAAAATGATTAAAGGTCATAATCATCATAAATTATTCGATTAATTAAAAAGGTTATAAATGTTTGTATATGTACCTGCAACGAAGTGACGCTACGTTCGAGCTCTGATATGTATTGTAGTTTCCTCACCCTTGATCTCTGTGCTGATTGCCGATTTGCTAATATTCTGTAGAAACATTCAGAAATATTTATTTAGTTTCTGTGAATAATGAAAAAAAAAACATTATACGGCTACTGATGTGACGCTAATTTTTCGGTAATTACTTTTTAACAAAAAATTTGGTACATCGTAAACAAATCTGAGTTGATATTTTTACGTGCATGCATGTTCTTGAATAATGTTTTTACCTCTTAACCCTTTTGGGATCGAGAATCCGGTTGCCGGAGCTATCGCCGGAATTGTTATTCGACGCCGTACCATCCTCTGGCTCTATCTTGCATTGGCTCTGGACTTCATCGTTATTGTTGTTGTTGTTATTATTGTTCATGTTATGATCGGCCGGTGGTAATTCTTTGTTGTCGTCGTTGATGCTATTGGACGGCGTGGATGTGTTCGAGGAAGAGCCGGTGGGCCCCACATTGTTGTTGTTGTTGTTGATATGGGAAGGATTATTATGAAGGCCGTCTTCGTCGGTGAACATTGACATGAACTGTTCGTCGTCGAACCTGTCGAAGTGGTGGTCTTCGATGCTGACGGTTGGAGCTTCGAGGAATGTGATAGAGTCGCTGATGGAACGACGGTGGTTGCCACGGCGAGACGCTGAGAAGTCTAGGAATTCGTCGACCCATGAGGGGTTTTGTACGGCGGTTGTAGCGGCGGCGATAGCGGTCGCGGTTGGGGTAGTGAAAGGAGAGAGCTTTTGGGAAGAGAAATCAGGCCAATGTTGTGTCATGTTGGGGATTTTAGGAGGAAGTTGTGCCATTGAAGAGAATTCTTTATATCTCTAAGGCAATAGAAGAAGAAAAAAATAGATCGATCTTGATCCAAAAAAACTACCAAAGAAAACAAATCTGAATTTTCAGGATTGGGGAAGGGAAAAAAAACCTTAATTAATAATAATTACAAGAGAAACTAACTTAAACCCAATTCAGAAAACCAAAAACCTAGATGAGAAAAACAAAGGAAAGAAATTGAGACAAATTGGAAGTGGAATGAGATCAATGTCCTAAACCATAGGAAGATAGAGAAAGAAAAATGAAGGAGAGGAGAAAACGGAACAAGAGTAACGAAAATGGTTATGTTTAACAAATGGTAGTTATATAAATAGAAGGAAGTTAAAAATGTAAAAAAAAAAAAAAAAGAGAGAGAACTAATAAAGGAGATAAATAGAGAGATATCTTATATAAAAACTTATGAAAGAACATAATAAATTCGATGTGATCAAAGTGTTTATTATCTCTCTGAGTAAGGTCACATGGAGGGAGATATTGAGATCGAACAGCTATGAAACAGCTGTCTTGAGAAGTGAGGCTAAGTTCTCAACGGTATTACGTACTGGAAAGTCTCCTCCACTGGTTTTTTTCCAATCTATGTACGAGATTTGGAGGAGGAATCATGTCCTTGTGACCTTTCTTTTGAGTTTGCTTACAATACTGTTTTCTCATTGTTTACTATTTATCATCAATGTAAACATTCTCAATTTGTTAAATGTGGTTAATACGTTTCTTTCATATGTATGAATGTCCATATAAACGCAAAAGTCTATATCTCGTATTTGTTGCTAATCATGTGTAAATTAATAATTTATGTACGAGAGAGTGTAAACCTACGTCAACGAATTACATGATTTATAGCACACAATTTCATCCATATATAGAATTAAGTCGAATAGATCAACATTACTTAATTTATTGGAAAAAAATCCCATGACTTAGCTTATTAATCACATATCCCACACGTTGTATGGATCATATATTAGTCAATACTATATCATCAAGCGATCTCTTTATTTCTTTCACCATGGTAATGAATTATCTTTGTTACCATCAATGCTTATGAGGAGGGCGAAACAATGCAGAGAGGAGGAAGCAAGTAGAGTAAAGAGTAATGGACGAGTGGAGAGAGAGTGAATAATAAGAAAAAGGATGAGAATAATGTTGATGTGTGAGTCCATGTGATTTGTCTTGTGTACTCTTTTTTTCTCTATATTTGCTTTGTCCCAGACCACACCCACATGTAGGACACTTGCCACTTTTTTTTTCCTCAATCGTATAATTTCGGATGTTTTGTCTGTCCAATTTTTTTTATCAAACTTTATTCGAGATCGGAATAATTAACGGAATATAAATATATATTTTTTGAAATGTTAAACTTATAAATCAAACTTGAAAAAGTTCGTGTACATTAACGGAATATATTCAGTGAACTCTTTCTAAATGTGTATCGGCAGTAATAATCTCATAGAAATAATTTCATGTTATTACCAAAACCAAACGATTTTGTTTGAAGGAGGAAATCACACATCATAACCAAACCAAACCAGATTGTCTCTATCCTCAAAATACTAGCTTTCTTCTTCAACATCGTCATCCCTAAACCATTAGCATTTTCAGTTTACAAATACCTTAGCTAACTAAAGCGACCAAGCTCTAACTAAACTCCATCAGCTACTCAAGATCGTGCACTGTGAAACCATGGCTTCATTCTCTTCGAGCATCATCACCATCAGAGACATATATATCATCCGCTGCCAACGACAAAACTTGGTAAATGAATAAGCAACGATAAAGAGCAATGATGAAGCTAAGAAGCAGGAGATTGAAGAGCAATGATGAAGGTTGCAGCGATTCACAAGGAAGCAGGAGATTGAAGAGCAATGATGAAGGTTGCAGCGATTCACAAGGAAGCAGAAGATTGAAGAGCAATGATGAAGCTAAGCGTTGAGAAGACATTCTTAAAGCAACAAGAAACGCCTGCTAAATGCAACTTCTGGATATATCTAATCTCGAATTTGCAAATCAAATTTTCAAGATTTTTTTAATGTGAATTGAAAACAAAAATTTCTCTGTTCTCTTCCATGGCTTGTAATACTCTTTGTATATGATTCAAAGAGAGGATTGACGAAGTTCTTCAACTAACTAATGCTGATTTGCATAGATAATATATATCTACTTCTGAGTTCTGAATCACTCACTAAAAATCAGAAGACCAAAAAGAACCAAGACCAAATTCATTATACACACAAACGATAAAGCATAAAAACAAACAAGAGTTCATTTTTATAGAAGCTTGTATCAGTCGAATAATTCACCATGAGATCAGATCATCCAAATTATGAATCCATTTTGTAGAAAATCTGCAGATCATGTGACTAATGACACTTGACATATGTAGCTCAGGTTCCACGTAAAAGCTTCACAAAACTATAACCAAAGTTCCAGAGAGTTAGTTAGCTGATCTATTACTGGGAGATACATTCTTCAGCAGATAACGTCTCCTCTTAGACCGAGCACGGCGCGTAAGCATCCATAAGATCACTAAGAAACCGATAAAAACCATCTGAAGGGCGAAGACAAGCTTCATACCTGGAAACAACAACAACAATTTTTTTCGTCTCAGTTTGCTAGACAATCGAAGAAACCAAATTAGCATTCGAATAAAGTAGCTAAACCTTGGAGATTCTTGACCATGTCCTGAAGATTCCCCATGGTATAAGACTCTTTTGGATGAAGTGTTGAACCGAGTTGCAAGTGGATAGATTTAAGGTTGGTTCTAGGTTTATAGATATAGTTAACGTTACCACCCATTACACATGTGTTGGGACAATGAATGCTACTTTCGTACTCGTCGCTTCCATCGCAGCAATCTGAGAAACAGACAATGTCATGCTGCAACAACTATTGTTATCCAACAAAAAAAAAAAACATGTATATTCAGGTACTAGCGATGATCATACACCAAGATAGCTTAAACGATCACAGTAGTAACTACTGACCACAGATACGATCGTTCACACGAGAAGAGTAAACAAACTTTGGAGAACTTCCAATGTTTCTACAGTAAAATTTGCCATTTGGACATGCTGAAGTTCCTGACATAAAAACATCAGATTATACAGCTGAAGAAATTCAGAAACTTACTAATTTTGCATCTCAAAAAACACATTTTTTTCAAAATTGAAGTCGATAAATATAAAAAGATTCGATCAATTCTACTCAAAAATCTTTATCTGGGCAAGAATTAAAGTCTCATCTCAGCTCTCTGGAATCTAAAATTAGAGGTGTTGAGTAACAGGTGAGTACCAGGCTCATCGGTGCCATCGAGACAATCGCAGAAGTTGTCGTTGAGACGATCTTTAGAGAAAGATTTGGAGCCATCTTTGCATTTGATAATATCTGAGTCGAAATATTTTTCATCTGCCTCACAACAACAAAGAATTAAGTAAGAAACAGAGAACAAAGACACAACAAAAAAAATTCAGATTTGTCGATATACAGATAAGAGTCATCGAAGAAGTAACCTAAAGGGTGAACACCGAGGGGAGAGATCGAAGCGACGGAGACGACGACGATGGCGAGTAACGAACACAACACGACGCATTGCAGCAGCATCCGTTGACTCGCATTTGGTAAAACCGACGTCGTTTTAAGATTCGAGTAGATTATTCCGACCAGAAGCCACTTTACGGGTTTTCTTGTACGATTCAGCTTTTAAGTTAAGATCAACGTGGTCAGATATATGATTCTATGGGCTTTGAGAATATGTTGGGCTTTGGCCATATGAGTTTTCATTTGATAATACTACTCAGTATTGACTATAAGAAAATAAAATTCAACCATTCAGGTTCAATGTGAATCAAACCTCTTACTCAAACGTTCTTGAATTGTGTTACAGAATCCCATCACCTCTTGTTCGAAGCAACAGGTTGAGTTACATCCAAGCCTTCAAGGATGAGACCATCAAAACCATTTTGAAATGAAGTAATGGTTGGACAAGGCATAACAACTTGAACAGAAGAAGTTTCAACAACTAGAGGAGACAAAACAGAACATGTTGTGCGTTGAATCTATTCAAGACATGAGTACGATACTGGAGTGTATTGATTGGGATTATCTACGAATTATGTATCGTTATGCATATAAGTATATTCTAGATTAAAGAATTCTAAGCCTGAAACTATACTTTTCTAACAATTTGGATAATCTTAATGCCTAAAGGTCTCCTCCTTCCAATGACTCAAAACTTCCTCATGTGTCTGCATAATCAGCTATCTCTTGCTCTTCCCGAATTTTTTACATCAATATTGAACATGGTGCAGAGATGAGCCACAAGGGCAATGTTCCATGTTAATTTTTTCCCCACAAAAACAGAATTGATGCTGAAAGAAGAGCTGTTAATGAAGAATGAATCCACTCTAAGAAGCAACCAACTTCTACAACACAAAACAGTTGTGAGCTGTTATGATTTTTCTAGACTCACAAGTGAGTTTTCACAACACATTAGATCCCACGAGTCATAAGTAACACACATAGCCACCCTTAGCAGTTAGCACCTATCTCATTAACCTAGACAACTTTTCGTATCTTCTTATAGTTTTCCATCTAAAATCATGCACTTAGACAAGAATAGACCAACAAGACTCGGACCTTTTTTGCATCTCCTTGGTTTGCTATTCGTTTTTCCTAGTCAGTACTCAGTAATGGACCTAAAAATATGAAAAAATGAATCCATACATCTATACTATTAATTGGGAAGCATTGGATAATAACTAACCTTATAAAGGGTAAAAAATTACAAAAGATGCCATTACAAATTTTTAATTCTATGACTAAACAAAAGAAATCTTTGAGGGGTAAAATGGACATTTTTGCACTCTGAAGGACGCGGATCTTGGATCATTATTTGGATCCCCATTTGGTAAAACGCACGGATCCCGGGTACACAAACGGTAAAACACGCGGATCCTGCAGAATAATCATATTGGGCTTTCGAGTAAATTAGCCCAATATTTATGAACGAGATCTACATGAATTCAAGTAAAAATAAATTAGATTAACTACCTTCACATATATTTCCATATCAAGCAAATTTAAAAATTCGAATTATAAATTATCACTTCGTAAATATTTCCATATCAACCCAAATCCCATATATTCCGTAGATTTATAGAAAACTTAATTCCGAACATATTCGATTTCATTTATGATTGATTACCGCAACTAATAAAATCAGTATATATCCATATTTAGTTATGATTTTTTAATCACAAAAATCAAGGATATGTATTGCATCAAATCGGAACAACTAAAGAAAATTCCCTTATCTATTCATAATTTACGGAATGTTAGCAATTTAAATTTCAATAAATAATATTCGATAGCTTCAAATATAATTCCATAACAAGCAAAACAATAAATTCGATTTATAAAAAATCAGTTCACCGCTATTTTTATAACAACCGATATTTTGAAAATAAAAAATCTCTTCAAATCTGTATTTAGTTAATAATTTTACTAAAAAAAACTTTCATATCTAGATTCATATAGAAACGAATCAGGCATATACCTAAAATATGCTTTCTCGAAAATATATTCTTATGCCGAAATTCACTAAACCCTAACAAAATGCTACGACTTGAGTTTACTATAAATATAGAGTAAAGAATGCAATTGAAGATATACACTCACCTTTAAAAAGCTTTCATCTGTTCTCTTCACGACCCTTCTAAGATAATGGCAGCACCACTAGCATGCACCGATCTTGCATGCTTCTTACTATAGGTAATGATGATCATCAAGAGAAATGATCAATAATGTAATGAAGACAAAACCTAATACCAACAGAAAGAGAGGAAACCAATATGAAGAGTCTGACTGCAGCAAGTGTAATCAGGTAAGGTTGTTTTGAGCAACAGCTTGACATAATTCATGCTCATAGAAGAGCACTCGAGGGTGCTTTGGAGCCATTAGTTTGAACAAAGTCGGCCTTTGGAGAACAGAAGGAACGATGAATCATGAAGGAAACAGTGTCTGGCCTTGGAAAAGAACAGCAGTGATTTGCTTCATCTCTGCGAGTTTGGTTCGAAAGGGTGGACGAGGTGCATGTTTTGGTGCTTTTGGGGTATGTGGGCTTGACACACCATTGTTGGGTTTCCCTCTCCTCTGCTGATTTAGATCAATGAAGGTTTTGTTAAGAGCCAGCCAAATAAGTTGTTTGATGCTCTTTTCGAAGGGTAAAAATTGAACAAACAAAAAGAAAAATTTAGTCAAATCTGAAAACATACAATGACAAAACAATGTTTTTTATAACAATTATACTAATTCAGAAAGAGTAACAACTAACAATAGCTAAATATTATTATGGATTAAACAAAATTTGAATCCTTAAAACTTCACTAACCTTTAACATTGCTTCCAGATTCTGGTATGGCTTCTAAATGACATCAAATTTGCCATTTAATTTTACTCAGAATCATCTTCTTTTGGCAACATCGTTGGGCAAACCATTATCTGAAATATATATAGAAAAAATTGTAATTAAAACACATATCATGACACAAAATCAACTGTTAATAATTATTTATAGACAATCGAATTTCTAAAAACCTTAAATCGGAAAACAGACTATTTATGTAAAGAAATTGGTTTACTAGCTAACACACTCAAATAAACTATCCCACAACTGACGATTTATGTAAAGAGATTGAGATTTATGTAATTCTATATGTAACGATCTGGGTTCTTGACAATCATTGCCCAAGAACTCAGTTTAAACAGACAATTTCAAAGTTCGAATTCGAATTGACATTTTAAAAAAAAATATTTGTCAAAAATAACAATCAAATCCAAAGCTTACCTCTTTTATGAATTTGACATGAAAAAGGATAAACGGAGATGTAATAGCTTGATTATCAGAAAATTTAGGGATTGATTCTTAGATCGAACAATCACCTGAGATTTGCAAAACTATTTCTACCTCTTTATTCAAAAACTTTAAAGATATAAAATTAGCATTACTTACCCATATATTATCGGGTTCTTGATAACCAATGCCCATGAGCTCTGTTCAAACATAAAATTTCAAAGATTGGAATTTCAATCGAAACATATGGAAAAAATAAAGTCAAAATCTGAAACAATAATAAGTTTACCTCTTTGTAGAATTCTGGTGTTATGATTAACAGATGATAAACGAAGACATAGTATCTTGATTATAAGACAATTTTGCGGATGATTTTTATTACCAACAACCGTCTGATTTTTTATCAGTGTGTTTTAGTGAAGACGATAAGACAATGTTCTAGAGTTATCTGTTCTGGAAAAAAAAATCATTTATGCAATAAAAAAAATCAATCGTTTATGTGAAACGATCTGAAGACAATTTTGTCTGTTACGGCCCAATTGAAAATTGCTATCTGATTTATTAATGGGCTCCTAAATTTTCGTTGGGTTATAGCCTTTTAATGACAAATGATATCCATTATTTTCGTAGGAGCAAAACAATTGTTTGTCATTTAATTAAAATTAGATATTACATATTTTATAAACAATCAGAAATACTATTATACTATTATACACCAATATTCTGAAACTATCCAATTTACACCCAAACCAATAAACTAATTCTATAAAACAATTATACTTACTTTTCTATTCAAAATTTATATTCTATCAAACAATATACCAATTTGTGTATCAAAGTTTATTTAAAACACAAAATAAAATTTTCCAATAAATTTATAATTTTATGAATTATATACAATTATCTGAAACACTACAAAAATAGAAAATAATTTGTTAAATACTACTTCTGATAAACATATTTTATAAAACACATATCGTAAACTATAAATCCCGCACGTACGTGCGGGTCCGGATCTAGTATATTACACAAATCAAACTCCAAGCAAAGAAAGATATTAAATTGGAATTAAGTGCCAAGATGATGACAATGACAAATCTATTTCTTACTAACCAAACCAAAAAAATTCAATTTCTACTAATCTACGCCTCCTCATCCTCCTCTGTTCAAGTTGTTGTTGTTCTTGTCTTCATTCTAGTCTGTGATTCTCTGAGATATGCTTCAGCTTTTCTACCTTTTAAAAGTTCCCTGAAAACCTTTGTCACAGTGGTTTGTCCTACACCATGATTCTCCTTCATGTACTTGATCATCTCAGGAAAAGTGTAGAAATTCTCACAGCAGAACAAGTAGCTATCTCTCACTTTCTCCTCTTCCTTGCTCAAAATCCGACTACTTTGCTGCTGATAATACGACAAAAATTGTATGAATGAATGAATCAGTGAGAATTACAAATATGTAAAATCTAATACATAAATCATCAGCCAGATTTTGAATTACTTGTGGTTTCGTAGTAGTAGTAACACAGTCCCCATCTGATTTCTCTGCTTTAAACGAGCTTTCAGAATTTGTTGCCATTACTCTCTGTTGTTAATTTGCTAGTATTTTAGGGTTTAAGAGAACAGGATGCTCTGGTAGTCTGGTGTCTCCCTTTTTATAGTCCAATTTATTAACGGCCCAGTAAAGCCCAATTACATAATCAGAGACCATTAAGTGACTTTCTATTGGTTTCAAGTTTTATTCAATAATAGCTAAACTCCACTCCGACAAGAGATTTAATTCTACTATTAGAGTTTTTTTAAGATATGACACGTAAAATACTTAATTTTAGTTTTATAGTATTGATTGATTTGGCAAAACAATACAGAAAAATCAAATAAGACAGGGTATTAATTCATCAAAGATTATAAAAAGTGTGTTTTGGTAATGTAGAATAATTTAATTTTCCCTAAAAGAGTAAAAGTTGGTGTTTAAAAATGAGAGATCGGGAATATGTTATGGATCGATCATGAATGAGCGTAAAACCAGTATCACCGAGATCCTATGATTTGATAGAATATCATGACTATTTTGATATCCATAAAATTTGGATGTTTTATTTGAATAACAAAAACCAGTATCACCGAAACCCTATGATTTAATTGTATTCATTTGTTAGCTATATTTGAACCATTTCTTAGCAATTTTTTTAAAAATAAACTAATTGTCTTCACTTTTAGTTGAGACTTGAGAGAATGAAACAATGATGAAAACTATAAGAAAAAATGTCAATTATGATTAGAGAATAACAATATATTTGCGTTTAAGCTATTCTATTAGTATATGATAGTTTCGACAATCCATAATTTTAGTAAAGCCTTTCTAAACTCCATTATTTTGATACTTATTTTTCAATTAATAGAGTAACTAATATACAATTTTAATAATAAAATTACAAAAAAATCATTAATAAATGATGATATGTCATTGCTCAAAGTCATCAAGTTATTAGTTATACATCACTAATATGTACAAAGCTCGCCCAATCAACGACTTAGTCACTACACTAGAACCGTATGAGATGGCAGAGATGACAATGTGACAATACAAGTCTATTTCTTACTAACCAACAGTAACCAAACCAAAGAATGTCAAATTATACTAACCTAAGCCTCATCATCCTCCTATGTTCAAGTTGTTGTTCTTGTCTTCATTCTTTTATGTGATTCTCTGAAATATGCTTCAGCTTATCTACCTTTTAAAAGTTCCCTGAAAACCTTTGTCACAGTTGTTTGTCCTACACCATGATTCTCCTTCATGTAATTGATCATCTCAGGAAGAGTGTAGAAAGCTTGCTTTCAAAACAAACACCTAGGATATGAGGAAGGTTTCAATTGTGCTAGCAACGATGCCTCTCAATATCATGGCTCTGCTCTAAGGTGAATATCTTAATATCTTGTTAACATTTAACATGACAATAAACATATATTGAACCATGACATCTAGTTTCAGGTTTATATCCCACAACTTTCGGTGAGCCAAGAAGTGCTTCTAAAGCTGTTGGATGTGCTCACAAACACCTAAAATGTAACACTTCTCGAAAGTTAGAGTGCATTGGAGATGTCGTTAAAACTATCAAGCCCGAGATCACTAACATTCTAGGACAGCTTCGATCAACGCTGATGCCATTGGAGGCCTCCCAGTGTCTCTAGATATGATACACATTATGCACTTGTGCTGAATTTGCTTGTGTCTTAGCTGTGTTTATGCTTGTGCCCTAGCTATGTTTATACTTGGATCAAACCTTTCTAATGCATAATGGAGTTGCTGGCCATGTGTTTATGTGTTATTAAGAGCATCCTGAGATAGAAAAGGTGAACTTGTACGTAAGGAAACAAGATCAAAACTCATAGATGAATTGGAATAAAGAATCAATGGTGTTTCAAATTTCTACGAACATCTAACCAACAATCCAAAACCAAGAGACAATAATGCTAAACTAAGGCCGCAAAAGATTATAGAAGACAACTTGGACAAATAAATTTGACGCAGAAACTGTAGCTCACCTCAAAGCCACAGGAGAAATTTCCGTTGAATGCACTTTGACTAAAATTCTCAGATGTCCATTCAGGAGGGCACAAGCTTTGAGCAAAACTCTCAGGCTCAGGCTATGGTGCAGCATGTTCCTATAACGAACTAGTTGCATCATCCTCCTCGTCTAATTTCAACAGAGGAGCAAACTCCTCAAGGAACTGGCACATGTTAAAGACCAAAAGAGCTAAATCTCCACCCAAAAATCAAGATATATATATATATAAAAAATCTCATCAAACGAGGCTTCTGCATCAAGATAAAACAAGCTCTCTATTGATTTTGCTTGCATTTAGGGTTTAAGAGAAGGAGGGGACGTCTGTCTTTATTCCCCTTTTATAGGTCAATTACATAATCAGAGGCCATTGAAGATTTCTAAGGGTAACACACTTATAGATCAAGGAGAAAACCTTTGAAATATGAATACACAACTTCGTTAATTAAATCCTTATGGTTTTAGAGCAGAAAAATAAAATGCAAAAATTTACAAAACCCATCTCAGATTCTATCAAGAAAAAGGGCAAAGACCAGACTTGTCCATATTAACACAACACATCAAAGATGATCCTATCTCGTCATAATACAGTCAGAAAGAAAAAAAAACAGAGATGACGATGGCTCTTTTGTAGAATGCTGGAGACAACTTGGAGCTATTGTTGCAGGAGTCTTGAGTTAGATTGCCAATAGCTAACTTCACTCCTTACGACCTTTGGTTGGAGGAGAGGGTTTGTCTGACGCCACTTTAAACTGTCCCATCTTCTTCTGCAGATCAGCTAGAGGGTCTTTTGAAATCTTTCCCTTAGGACTCTTCTTTCCATTTCCTACTTTAAGTTCTAGCCGATATAACGCACATGCGTCAGATTCATTGATTTGGTATTCAAAGAGATGCCACTCAAAGGGACCTGGAGGTTGTGGATCCATATAGTATGATCTCTTCTGGCCTTCTTGTTCCTTCATCGGTACTTTTCTTGATTCATGCCAACCTCGTCCACTGTAATCTGGAAGTGATCTTTGCTTTCGGTTTCCGCTATCATATGCTCTTCTAGGTTTGTCAAAGAAGAGCCACTCTCTAATCGTTTCGCCTTCAACCAGTTCAAGATGAAATAGCTCTGCAAGTACAAAGAATTAAGGGTCAGCCAAAAATAAGAAACTCACATATGGCTTCTGTTTGCAAAGAGGTAATGAAATGTTGAACTAAAACAAAGAGAGAAGTAAAACTCGGCTCTAGTGGGACAATGCAATCACCTGCTGCGTTCCATGGGCATTTTGTGTTAACAGCTCCTTCACACACTGGGATGCCAACATTCTTACCCTGAGTCTTTGCACGAAGAGCATCAATCAATAGATTATCTTTCAAACTGATGCCCCCCGGCCTTAAGACAGGTGCTGTGCCAGGCGAATCTTCATTCAGAGCTAGAGTCCCATGGTAGTTACTGCAGTAATCCAGGTACCACTCAGATCCCTGAGCAGGCCTTGTGCAATCCCATAGTGCACACTTAGGTCCTAGAAAAGCAGATGGAGGCACTCGGACACTTGATGGAGTAGTAAATTCAGCAAAGTTGTCAATCTCTTCAGAAGAATCAAGCTTAATGGAAGGGCTGTTATAGAGTTCCTGACGCACTTCGGAGAAAATAGAATCATACTGAGAAGTTATATCCAGGTTGCTGTTGAGTTTTTGGTCATGGAAATCAGGAGCGGTGTTTACGCTTGGATCAAACCCTTCAAATGCATAATGGAGTTGCTGGCCATGTGTTTCTGTGCTATTAAGAGCATCCTGAGATAGAAAAGGTGAAAAGGAAACAAATTCAAAACTAAGACAAGAATGAAAAAGATCAAAACTCATAGATGAATTGAAATATAGAATCATTGGTGTTGCAAATGTCTAGGAACATCTAACCAACGATCCAAAACCAAAAGACAATAATGCTAACTAGACTTAGGAAAAAGATTATAGAAGACAACTTGGACAGATTAATTTGATGTAGAAACTGTCGCTAGCTCACCTCAATGCCGCAGGAGAAATTTCCATTGAAAGGACTTTGACTAAAATTCTCAGATGTCCATTCAGGAGGGCACAAGCTTTGAGCGAAACCGTCAGGCTGAGGCTTTGGTGCAGCGTGTTCCTTTAGCGTACTAGTTACATCATCCTCCTCGTCTAATTTCAACAGAGGAGCAAACTCCTCAAGGAATTGGCTAATACCTTCACCCTGCAACATGTTAAAGACCAAAAGAGCTAAATCTCAACTCACGAATAAATAAAAAAACTGCAAAATCCTCACCAAACGAGGCTACTCTCTCGTCACATACAGAAAGCAACCAAGCATTCACTATTTTTTCAAAGAATTGAAACCCATAAACCAGGGAGAAGTATGGTAATGGAGTACGAACCAGAAGAGAAGATTCAGGAGAAGGAGCAGTGAGTTCAGCTTGCCACTCACGAATATTCTGAGAGATTTGGGCTTCCAAAAGTGCAAGGTCACCATGGCGCCCTTCTTTCCTAGCAGCCTGAAGATGACAGAACCTCTCCTGAAGTTCCCTTAGCTTCTCCTCCACATTCTGATGCGCCGAAGATACACATGTGATCTTCGGGTTGTTTGACATCTCCTCTAAACCCTGACCAAAACCATTCAAAAATCAACTAAAATCTTAACCACAAAATACCTAAAAATTCTGATTCTCATGAGGAAGGAAACAAACACATTACCTCAAAACCAAAGAAACTATAACTGTGATAGAGATTAGAAAACAACCAGCGATTGGTCTCTCTCTCTCCTTCCTCCGATCTCTGGCTATTCATCAACAAACCAAAACTGATCAGTTCATGGAAAGTATTGAGCAGAATTCACGAACACAACAAAGCAAAAAAATAAAATAAAATATCAATCCAATCCTAAATCAAACCATTAGATTCTATACAAACAATCAAATCTCAACCCTAAATTGTTGAAATCGAACAAAACCCTAACATGAGTCTGACTTATATAAATCCATAAAATTGAGAAGAAATTCAGAGAAAGTTCATACTTTTTTCGGTTTGGATTGATAAAGAGAGCTTCGGATGGAGACGAAGAAGACACAGGAGCTATCGCGATGAGGAACAAGGCAAAGTTACACAGCGAACAAGAGCGACGATTTTGATTGATGAAGCGCAGCGTTTCATCTTTTATTGAGGGGAGTGGGTCTTTTATGATTTTTCCAAAAATAAAATTTTAACGACTTTTAAAATTTCCAAATTCAATAGATATGCATTAAATAGATGGACATTTTTTTTTACTTCTTTAGATTTTGGTCAACTGAGAAAACTATAAAGGAATTAATGATAATAAAAATCATATGCTAACCTAAAATTTGTCACACAATATACAGTATAAGGGATTCAGAGATCCATATATTGGATCATGTCATTGACAACAGAAATTGAGTTCCTCAACCCATAAAGTTGATATGCTGATAGGGTTATAATTTTATATCCACTGATTTTGTTAACACTTTTCTAGATTTGGCATATGATTACTGGTTAATTACTTAGTTCAATGTAAAATGTAAGTTTTCTTAATTATAGATATAAGCTGCAAATGACTCTTAAGGACATCAGGACGTCATTGTCTATGTTCTTAATGCATACACAAGCCTTGTTTCTTTCCTTTACAGTTTCTAATCAATGTCAAAATCAATTAATAGTTTTGGCCCTCCATCACTATTCACTACAATCTTTGATAATATGATCATACCAATCTCCCCATATCAGAAAATTAAAAATATAATCTTGTGTGTGTGTGTATGTGCAAATATAATGAAGAGATTTGTGCAGCCAAGATGGAATATGATGAAAATGAAATGGCAAGTCTCCCTGCAAGATTTTGACACAAAATATTAATGCAACACAGAGTTCCCATACCACAATAACATTGGTCTCAAGTAACTTCCAATTATAGTATTAAGCAGACACATTGCAGGCATGAGCATCATGAGTAACTTGCCTCTATTCAATTCCTCTCTCTCCCTCTTAATCATGAAACTACCTCTTTGTCTCTTTCTTTCCCTTTTTTTTTTTTTATAATGATTTTCACTCATGAAATCTAATCGAACATAGCCTAGCCTATACTCATTATTCTCCAATATATCTGACCAAACATGTAACAGACTTAAACCCTAATAAATGTTCATCCGTACATGCACCTCCTTCCTCAAGTAAGGATAAAACCACCTTCTGTTTTTGTTTCCCTTTGACTCTATATAACACACTGTAACTCCTCCGTAGCTATATTCTTCCTTAGATCCTCATCAAGCTCAAAAATCTCTATCTATACATTTATCTACGGGTTTTCATCATCATCCACTCATGTTCTTTCTCACTTTTGAATTCACATATACATTATCTATATACATAACATCTTTGTTTATATCATTCAGGGGACTATCATACTATCATCATCATCTGTTGGAGAATATGAAGAGGACACATTTGGCAAGTTTCAGCAACACAAACAAAACCCAAGAAGAAGAAGAAGAAGACACTAATATTGGTGACAACAGAGTCATCATGAATCACTACAAGAATTACGAAGCTGGGCTGATCCCATGGCCTCCCAAGAACTACACTTGCAGCTTCTGCAGGAGAGAGTTTAGATCTGCTCAAGCACTTGGAGGCCACATGAATGTCCATAGAAGAGACAGAGCAAAACTCAGACAGATCCCTTCTTGGCTCTTCGAACCTCACCACCACATACCTATTGGAAACCCTAACCCTAATTTTAGCTCTTCTTCTTCCTCTTTAACAACACCAGCTCACCTTGAGCCTTCCTTAACCAACCAGAGATCCAAAACAACTACTTTTCCTTCTGCCCGGTTTGATCTTTTGGACAGTACTACTAGCTATGGAGGTTTGATGGTGGACAGAGAGAAGAACAAGAGCAATGTATGTAGCAGAGAGATCAAGAAGAGTGCCATCGATGCATGTCATTCAGTAAGATGTGAGATAAGCCGTGGGGATCTGATGAATAAGAAAGATGATCAAGTCATGGGGTTGGAGCTTGGGATGAGTTTGAAGAATCCCAAACAAGTTCTTGATTTGGAGCTTCGACTAGGCTACCTCTAAATTCATCTGACTAGTAATTTTATTTCAAAATTTTATTTAGTATATCATAACATGTATAGCTGAGCAGTGACAAGAGATTGTGATTGCATTCAGTCTAATGGTATTAAATAGTATTAGACTTAAATTTAATGGAAGTCAAAAAGAAGTTAAAGTTGAAAAAGGCCTCCAAATTTCTTTATAGGTTTTGTACCTTTTCATAAGAAAATCTCCATATGATTTTACCAAGAGTGTTTACATCTCTTAATAAGTGGCTCAATTTAATCTTAAAATTGAGTTATGTGGTGTTCCAGTATATGTGTTATTTTCCTAGTTTTTTCCAATGAGTGAAAGATATTTTAATACAAAACAACGATATATGTTTGTATTTTAAACTTTATTGTTATTATTGGTAATAAATTTGTCAGTTCCAATCCTCCCGTATGTATTTTGTAAAATATGAAACTGTATAGTAGAATTACGTGCATTATAGAAGCTAGAAGAGATTAGAGAAAGTGGGTTGCATGTGTATGTGAGTATTAAGAAAGACAAAAAGTGATAAAGATTGCATTATTATAGAGATGGGTTGATGAGACACAGACGCATGCGACAAAGTGGTACTATGAAACATATAAAGATGGATGATGATCAATTGACTCATGAATAGTTAATGTTTTCATCTTTTACACTCACCATCACATCTAATACTTAGCTTTATGTATAATTACATATATCTAGCAATTCTCATGCATGTCATGAAAGCACTTAATGGTATATGTGTGTGTGTGTTAATTAAACTGTCTGGATTTTTTTTTTTTTCCTTATTGTTGCAAGAAATGTCTTAAATGATTCTAAAATATATTCAGTTTATGGCGGAAGGCCTGAAGAACCTTTGGGACATGGAGAGTTGTGAATATGAGTTTGATAAAATTCTTGTGAAATAAAGTTTGTAAATCAAATGCCAGACTAATATCTAAATACGCCTCAGTCAAATTCTACCACTAATATATATCGACCAACAAAATGTTACTATTAATTTTCTAAAAAAAAATTAACGTCTTTTTCATCACACGTGTGAGTGTGTGGATATGCTAGTTCAAAAAAAGACTTCATCCCTAGTTATATGCATATATAGGGATTTGTTCCTGCAAATAATAATGTCTCTTTCGTATATACAAAAACCATTAAATTTGAACAGTATTCAATTTCATGGCATGTGATTTATATACACTGCTTTTTTGGTTATGAAATTCAATACCATATCAACTATATCTATACTAAACATGAATATGAATGAAGAGAGTACAGACAGATCAAGAGCCAAGAGTGTAGGAGACAAGATTAGAAAATTAGAAAACAAGTGATGTGAAAAGGAAACAAGAAAACGGAATGTTTGGTCAATACATTTGGGATGTTTGTGGTTTCCCCATGAACAAATTTAATCTGACATTTTCCATCTTCCCCAACAATTTTAATTTAATATATACAATCCATCATCACCTTTCCCTTTTTAGAATCGATCACTTTCCACTCTAATCTCTACGTTCCCTTCAATTCTTCCCTTTTCTATGAATAATAATTACAGTGAGTTACGTTTATTTGTGTTTGAGTGATGTGAAAGGTAAGAGATTTTCCATCATGCACTCTAATATTTTTCTTCTTCTTACAACTTTGCCCCCAAGTTTTTAGTGTTTCTTACAATAATCACCTCTCGTTGCAATTATATTCACACCCATACCACTGTGGCACTGTCTTAAATAGATTTGGTTCTAACTTCTAGTAATGGTGAGGAATTTATCTGAGCAATCCTAGAGATTATTTGGCTAAAACTGTAAAACTTGTAGGTTTTGTTAACTGTCCAATCACATTGACTTCTGTCTCTATCTCAAAATCACATGTTTTTTTTAGTTATGTCTTCTCACCGGTTCATTCGAACCCACGAATCTCTTTAATTTTTGTCTGAGGTGATTGTTCTGATGGAACCGCGTGACATACAAAATTATGTTCTCATATGATAGAGTTAAATGTGAATTAAATGTGATAGAGTGTGTCATACTGTCATCCTTCGACCAAATCATACAAAAGAAAAATGAGATCAAGATGTATCAATTAGTGTGAAATGAAATGTTTAAATACAAACTTTGGAAAAGTCCACCATCGAAGCACCAGTGGTTTAGTGGTAGAATAGTACCCTGCCACGGTACAGACCCGGGTTCAATTCCCGGCTGGTGCAATTTGTTAAACAAACCAACTAACATCATTCACTTAATGAACCTATTTGGGCTTTAACGGCCCATTTTTGTTTTTCATTCCGTAACCACTAGACCTGTGTTATGTTGTCCTTCCTCTCAACCTAATTACACTGCTTGAGTTCAATCTTTCCTATCTTTCTTCCTTTTACCAATTTTTTTTCTTTTTACCAATTGTTATTCTTTCCAACCTCTACTGGTTAAACTTTGCATATAGCCATGGGAATTCAAAAATCTGGAATTGAAATTTGCAAGCGACTATGCATTGCAAATAAAATATGGGATATATATTTATGAACTGACTAGTAATTATTTTAATGATATTTGGAAATATTTAGAAAGTCCGATGGGAAGTGTAAGTTTTAAATACAAAGAGACATTTTTGCTCAAGTCAGGCGTGATGGAGAAACCTCCAAGGGATTTAGTTTCCCCTCAAGTTAAGTTATTATGTCTTTTTTTCTTTTTCTTTTAATAAAGTAGTTAAGATTAAAAAATAAAAAAGTGGTTAAGTTATTATGTCACTAAACCTTCTTCAGTAATTTATTATGATTTAAACCAAAAAAGAAACGCGCTAACGCAAACTGCAATTATCTCAACTAATTCTTGAATAACAGTACTTTTGATCCCGTCCCGTTGCTCAAGTTTTTTCGTGGTCTTCAACATGGTCATGTTTCTTCACTGCTTCAAGTTCAAATCATATACGTCCTAAATTATCTTGTAATTCAATTTAGATTACCATGAACTACAAAGGTTTTAACTGGGGAGTGTGGATTATGGGAACATAATTACTAACATATTTTGAGACAATTTAACTATAAAATATTGACAAAGAATTATATTCTATTGGCCATTATTGTTTTTAATATCTTTATTTTATCTATTTTATTCTGGAACATCCAATAAGATTAAAACGATAAGTTCCTGCACAAAAATGACATACATTAAAATACTTTTTCACCAAATATATTTCAGCTAACTCATTTGCAAGCTTGATAAAATGACTATAGTTTAGAAAATTTTCGGTCTATAGACATTTTATCAAACTATAGTCATTTCGGTCTTGTTTCTTAAATTTTTGGTAGCTTAGTTGATTTTTTTTTAATGATAAACAAAATTACCAACTATATAACCGTATCCGATTAACTTTAAGAACACGACCATTAAGTGAAGAAAGTCACATGCATACACTATCCTAATTGCATCACACGATTTCTCTCGTGTACAAAATCCGTAAGTACATAAAATTAATACTTTTTTGTAACATTATTAAATTCTAATAATCTCTCCTCAGGTGATTTGAATCCTAGTCTGTACCAGCTACACACTCACTCCATGTACCAAATATTCCTAAGCCACCTAAGCAGATCCAGCACGATCAATCAATATTACGAGCTTTAGTGTTTTGTTTTGTCATAAAGGGGGTTTAGTTAGCTTATAATTACGCAATTAGACTTAAAAAAATGGGCTTCAAATACATATTCATGGCATTAGTATTTGTCGGTACATTTTCACCGGCATTTGCCGGTTCACCCGGTCCCCACATATCACGACAAACAGCAGCAGTTCCGATGTCCGGCGTTCGGCGGAAGAACTTATAAAATAACTTTCTAAGATTAAAAGAAAGAAGAAAGAAAGAAAGAAGATAGAACAAAATAGATTATTAATTGAGTTTGCTTTGAAGCTCCAAGAACCAAACGTATCCGGGCATAAAATAATACGAGATAAAGTGATAGAAGACCTAAGACTACCTCACTACTAAAAATATGGATATTTTTCTATAGAAATACACGAATGAAAATAAAAAGAAGTTGGACAAATTAAATTGAAATCCAATAATTATTAAGAAAAATATTCAAATCCAATAAACTAGAAGTCTCATGTTGCAGTCTCCATTATTGATTGTCTCCTTTGAATCCAACATGTGACCCTCCATTGTCTACCATTCACACCCTTTGGCTCATTCGATAAATTTGGACATTAATTGCATTCTTTTTATTTGTAAAAAACTTACTTGTGTAAGCAAACCGTTGTTATTTATAGACAATGCAATTCTTCTGCATTGTTGTTTGAGTTTCACACTTAATTTCAAACCAATTTTGGTTGTTATACTAAATATTGCTAAATAATCTAAATATTCAAGTGTGCTTAGTAATTATACTGGCAAAATATATGATGTTTTAATGTTATTGGATCTGAATTCCTATCTAATGTAAAGCTTGTGAATGGACTACATGTATATATATTTTTTCAGCGAGAGGGTTCAAATCTAGACTATGACAATTACAAATCTTTGATTAAGCAGAAAAAGGCTCTCACAAGCATTTTCAAATCAGATCACATATTTCGGCTACGTAATTGGACACGATTTTTTTTTTTTTTTGGATAATAAGATATCATCATTTATAGATTTCGTGTATAAGTTGTTAAAATGTGTAACTGGTGTAAAACTGAAAACACATATAAAATTAAATATACAATATAGGTTTCAAATTTAAATAATTAATGTCAATGGCATTCATTCGTAAATAAGGTCCAACTAAGTAGAATTTTAAAGATTATGATATTCGAATTATACTTTCATTATATATTACAGTTTATAAACGAAACGATAAGTATGGCTCATACTCTGGTGATGGAGAATTAAACAATTTTATATACAAAGATGACACAATATGGTAGACCAAAAATAACTGATTAAAATAGTATCATAATATGTGTGATTGTAAATGATCATTGAGTGAACATATAAAATAAGTATGCCCAAGAAAGAAAAAAAATAAAAAATCCCATTCTCTCTCATGATAATGTTCCTTTTATAAAATCCACCCAAAGACACCAAACACTTCTCCATCATCATTTCATTTCTTTTTCTTTTTCCACCATCACCATTTCCTAGTTCGCTCGTGCACATCTCCGACGATCCCAATTCTAAAACCATCACTTGTTCCAATCTTTTCAACATCTCTCAAAAATATCCAATCAACAAAAAAAAAAAAAAAAACAGAAACAAAGAGAAACCTTCTTTCTTTTAGTACAAATAAAAATCATCATCACTTTAGTTTGTTTGTTTCGCCGATGGCATCTTCTGGTAACGGTACAACGCCGGGAACAGGTTCACCGTGCGGTGCATGCAAGTTCTTGAGGAGGAAGTGCGCATCCGATTGTATATTTGCACCGTACTTCTCATCGGAGCAAGGAGCAGCAAGATTCGCAGCTATTCACAAGGTGTTTGGAGCCAGCAACGTTTCTAAGCTCTTGCTTAATGTTCCAATCCATGATCGATGTGAAGCTGTCGTCACCATCGCCTACGAAGCTCAGGCTCGTCTTCATGACCCTGTTTATGGATGTGTCTCTCATATCTTTGCCCTCCAACAACAGGTAGGTGACCGAGTAATCGTTAGTACTCCATCGATCTTCATAGACTATTTGTTTAATCACTATGGAATTTATTGATTGGTATGAGATTTCGTGCATGAGATTGAATGTTCTCCAAATCTTGATGAATTAGCTTGTAACAACT